TCCATTTTTTAAATCTCTTTTCTTAATTATTTTGAATTAATTGAATATTTTTTATTCCATTTCCCTCCTTAGTGGCTTATTAGCTATATATAGCTCATTACAACAGTGGATGCTTTAGGATTTGTGGTATACATCCTTACCTCACAGCAGTATTACACCATTTCGTGTGTAGTGTATGAACTTTATAATGTATACTTCACACATGTCTCAAACTTTGTGCTATATATGTCATGCATTTTGCTTTTGCATGTATTAAAAATCCCATATAACAATACTTTTCTTGAAACAGTAGTTTATCTTCAAAGGGATTTAAACACTAAGGAAAAAACTTTAATGTATTTACTCATGTAAATGTATCCTATTTCCAGTGCCCTTCATTCCTGTGTGTAGGCTCATATTTCTGTCTAATTTGCATGTCTTTAAAAGTACTTATTTCATGTTCATTTTTGAAAGATTTTGCACTAGGTTACAGCATTCTATCATTACTCACAGTTTCAGCGCATAGGCCTCAAATCCCACTGATGGTGGGGGGCTGCTGTTTGCCTTGTGCTTGGATAGGGCTGAGAGTGCTAGGTTCCTGTGTTCCTGCTCCACTTCTCAGCCTTCCACTGTCCCTTGCGTGCCTGTATCAGAGCAGGTCTTTCTCCAGGTTCTCACCCCCTCTCCAGTTGCAGCTTGCATGTGACTCGGCGCTGAGCTCATGGTAGCGGCAGGTAAGGTGCCCTGCTGCCCCAACCAGTCCAGCCTCAGTGTCAAGCAGGCCCTTTGTGCTTTGGCTTCCAAGGTGAGGTATTCCTAGCAGTCCTGCCCCACCCGTCCTGTTGCAGCCAAGCCCCCTCTGTGTGGCTGGTTCTAGCATGGTGGTTTCTGCGCCTCCGTGGCAATAGCAAACATGGTACCTGTAGCAGCTGCCTCTCCCCCAAGAGCAGAGAATTTTTGCTTCTACTTCTCCCGCAGCAGTAAGTCTTCTGGGAGTGCATTGGTTTTGCTTCTGCTTCTCTAGAAAGAGCAAGTCTTTGTCAGTGTCCTGTGGCCATAGTACTTGGTGGGCTGCCGCCAGTGCTTTAAGACTTGGGCTTTGTAGGGGAGAAGGATCCTGGAAGCTAGTGGAGCACTGCTCTTGTTCCTCCACAGCCACCAGTCACCTCCTGCTGGCACCGAGGTCGGCTTTCTCTGGCTTCCGCGCTGCCCTCACACCCCAAGAACACCCGGTGGAGGCTGATGGCAAGGAGCTTTCCGGTGAGTGGGAACTCTGTCTGAGGTCCCCAGCCGAGACTGGCTTCAAGGCATTGACCTGTGCAGTCACACAGCCCCACACTAAAAAGGTCCGTGTGTTCGGTTTAACATTCTGCTATCCCTGTCTTGAATTTCTCATTTTGAGCAAGGATTCCCACTTTGCTGTTTTGCACTAAGATCAACAAATTAGCCAGTCTTTTTCCTAAGCAGTGCTTGGCCTTTAAACATGTTAAAATCTTAGCTGCTCATACAGCAGCCACCTTTTCTCCTGTGCTCTGCCAAAGGGAAGACCATGTGTGTTCCCGTCTCCTCAGTGGATTTTCCTCTTTGCAGTTCAGTTTCCATGATTGCTTTGCAGCCTCAGCAATCGGAGGGCTCCAAAATGTTGTGATTTTTCTATATAATCCAGCTGTTTCTTGTCGTTAGGGTGGGGGAAACATGTTTAGCAGCTTTCTGCATCCTAAACGAAGTCCCAAACTGCTGTCGGTTTAGAACTCACTTGGAGGTTCTCACATTCAGCCAGCAGAACGATGAACTGATTGAAGCTAGTCCCCCCACCCCAGCCCTTTATGGGGATGGCGCGTTTCTTCTAAAGTTCCCTTCAGAAAAAGGTGGCTTTATGGTTTTTATTTTATTCCCACCACAGAACACCCCTTAATGTCACTGTCATAATAGAACTAAAGTGACACGTTTGGTAATGGGTGGCTATTAATAAACTTGAATGAGTAGCTCTTGCCCATCAGTGAGGGAGAGTTTACAAAGTGAAACAACAGAGATGAAGAGTAAGGAAATGGGGAATTTCTCTAAATAAGGATATGTGGCTTGTGTGCTAGTGACATCTAGGATGCTGCACTCCTTAGCATTTGGGCTGCATTACTATTTTTAAGTACAATATTCTTTTTTTTTTGTATCATTAATGTACAATTACATGAGCAACATTATGATTACTAGACTCCCCCATTGTCAAGTCCCCACCACATACCCCATTACAGTCACTGTCCATCAGCATAGTAAGATGCTATAGAATCTCAGAATATTATTTAGTCTATTTAAAACAGGTCTTACATTTTTCAATTTCACTCCTTCACTGAAGCATATTATTAAAAACAATAATAAACAGGCTGAGTTGTAATAGGATTCAAGTTAGTTTTCCCTGGGGCTAATTTTTTTAACTTAAAGCCATTTTAAGTCACAGCTTTCTCATATCACCTGACAAATAGTCTGTCCCTTTTTATCTTAACCTGTTGATATCTTTAAACATTTCATCATGAACATTATACAAAAGTAGAAGAGTATAAGGTACCCCAATGTACCTTTTACTTAGCTTTAATATTTACTCATTTGTATTCCATACTGTCCCCCGAACCTGATTATTTTGAAGCAGATTTTGACCGTAATTCCTATCATATTGTAGTATGGGTCTTTTAAGATACAGATTCTCATTCTGGCTCACTAACTACAGTCCCATGGTCACACCTAGAAAAAAATAATTCCTTACATATTTCTTATTTTTCCAACTCATTGCAAGAAGACTATAGTATAAAAGAACAGTATTATTAACCAAGAATCTAAAGATTTAAGACATCTGTAGTTCCTTTCCCTAAATTCAGAGGAAGAATTAGCTTAGTAACCAAGTAAACAATTAACCATCTGTTCTTAGCCTGTTAGTTGTACATGCAATTGACAGTGTTTTTCCTTTGTGTTAAAGAAAAATGTTACTGCCACACAAAGAAATGGCCCTGATGATTTTTGTGTTACAAAATTGGAGGTGAGTGGAAAGAGCTTTTATTCCACAAATTTTATGGACTTTTTACTACTTACTGAAACTTGGACTTTTTAACAAGAACAAAGATCTTTTTTTAATGATAAAAATCATCTTCTGTAGTCAGTATCCTTGGAAATGGATGTGGACAGCTGAGAACAGAGCCAGTGAAAGCCTGGGATCAGAACAGGTAAATACTGGAATGTTTATTCTTTTTCTTTTGCATTTCTATTTGCATTTGAGTCTACTTCAGAGAATGGAAGCTGACTGAATCTTTGAAAGGAACCCTGATTAACAGCTCCCAACAGCTAGAATAACCAAATAACTCACCCAGAAAAGTAAGTCATTCCTAAGGATGTCTTTATATTGTCGGGGAATATGCCCTGAATATTTCTTGGTACTACTTGTTTCTTGCCACGTAAGAGATTTACTCAAACTGTTACAGGTTAAAACATTATTTCCCACAGTTTCTGTGGGTCAGGAATCCAGGAGTGGCTTAGCTGGGTGGTTCTGGCTCCGAGTTTCTGGGTTGCATTGAAGGTGTTGGCCAGTCCTGTAGTCTCTGGGCGTGCCTGGGCTGCAGGGTCCACTCCACGCCCACCCATGTAGCTGTTGGTAGGAGGCTTCAGCCTCTCAGCATGGTCCTCTCCGCTGGGCTTCTGACAGCATGGTTTCCATCAGAGTAATTGATGACACAGAAGGACGAGAGAACCAAGACATGAGCGGCAGTCTGTAGTCTAATCCAGGAAGGGATTTACCATGACTTCTGCTTAATTTTATCGGTAAGCCTTTTATCAATTTCAAGGCACTTTGGGCTTTTATCTCCTCAAAGCCTCCTGCCTCATTCCAAAGCCACTCCCATGTTTTAGGATTTTGCTGTGGCAGTACCTCCTCACTTGTAGGTCCAAAAGCTGTATGTTCTACATTGCTCCCTAACAAATGAACTCAAAACTGAGCTGCTTAAAACACAAATGGGCAGGCCAAGAGCCTGGAGCATCCCAGCCAGGTGGTTCTAGCTGACGGTTCTCATGAGGTTGCAGTTGGGTGTTGGCCAGAGCTGCAGTCTCTGAAGACCTGAGCAGGGCTGGGGTCCAGCTCCCAGCTTCCCGCATTGCTGTTGACAGCCTTCAGTTCTTGCCATGTAGGCCTTTCCACGAGGCTGCTCATAACATGCTGCTTCCTCCAGGCGAGTGAGTGAGTCACCCAAGAGAAGTCAGAAACCAGTCTTTCATAACCTAATTTCAGCAGTGGCACACAGCACTTGTGTTGAACTTTATTAGTCACACAGACCAGTCCTGGTATGTGAGAGAAAAGCACACTGAGGTGTGACTACTAGGAGGCAGGAATCACTGGGGGCCATTACGGAGCCTGCTGCCGTACTTCCTAAGTAGCATAATTACTCAGTAGCTTCCACAATAATCAGTTTTTCCAAAGGGCCTAAAAATGTGGGGTCTTCTTTTGTTTGTTTTAATCTATGGTACACCCATGTAGAAAAGTCTGGCAGTCTGGCAGGATGTACAGAAAAACCCATGTTTATTCCTGGGTATTGATATTACAGCTGATTTTAATTTTGTTTTTGTCTTTGTAAAGATATGAGACACTTTTACAGTTGATTTATACCAAGAATTTTTTTTTTTTCAATGTGGGATATTCCAGAGACCAAAAAGTTGAAGGCTGAAATAACTTATTTATTTTCAAACGTGTTAAGTATTACTATATAGTAGGTACTTATGGAGGGAAAAGGATATATTCTTGCTTTTAGAGAATTGTCTTTGGGAAAACAAAAAGCTATAAAGCAGTATAATACATTCTACAGAAGAGGAATAAGGGAGCATTCAATAAAGGCGACACACTGAGGGATCTAGTTAACTGACACTTAAGACAGAGTGTGGGAAAGACAAAGGGGGAGTCAGACTTCAAACATGGTGTAGCATGTGAATACACCACTACAGGCTTATAAGCAGGAAAATCAAATGACCAGATACATCAAAAAATTCACCTGTTTTAAGGTTTTCATTGTTTTATTTTTTAAAATACTGATTTCCACCTAGAATTCTTTAAATGTTACAATTTAATGCAATGCAAAATTAATCTCAAACTCAGTTAAGTAGACATTAATATGTAACTATCAAAAAGACGTTTATAGCCTTAAAGAGCCCTGAAATGTCTTCAAAGTTTAATTTCTAGAAAATACAGCAGAATAAACATTCTTATTTATAAGGCTTCAAAAAATCTGACCAAATGAGATGTTCAGTGGGGCAAGATGGATCGAAGGGTCAGAGAACAAAGTCATTGACTTAGTTTGTTAACATACTGACAAATTATTTCAGCTAGAAGAAATAAAAATTGTGTGCCTTCTTGTATGCACTTTTATCTAGTTCTCATTTGGTGTAAGATGGCACAAAAATTACTATATGCAGAGAACAATTTTCTAGTCTTTTATGTCCATGTATTTCCATAGATACCTACATAAAAGTGTTTACTGCCTTGAGCTCAGTCAAGGTGTGGCATGATTTTAATGTGACTCCTTTATCATCCTGAAAGGTCATGGTATAACTGGTTTTATGTATAACAGGCAGTTCTCCTTCCCTAACTAATTGCTCTGCTCTTTCTCTTCCACATTGAGAACCGTGTCCACAGTTATCCCTATGTCCTGCAGTGACTGGCCTTCCTCCACTTCCAGTGGCCTTCTGGGAAAGGAAGTAGAAAGGCTGTAGAGGGAGGTATGGTATCCAACTTTCACCATCCAGTTAAATAAGACCTAAAAGGTAAAGTTTAGGTATTGAATACTGTTCACAGTTGTGTCCCTCTAGATCACCATTATATTTTAAAATTATTTCATTGTTAAATCATGCTCCTAGGAGTAAGGAAACAGAACTTTCATGCCTTTTAAAGAAACTTTCTAATTTAAGGAAAATAGCATGCCATGGATTTTGAAATGTGAATAACCTTTAGTACATTTCAGCAGTTTCAGAGAAAACCTGGGAACTAATAGCATGTATAGACAGCAGAGGCATTTAACCATTAGGAAAGCTCCAACTGCAGGGAAAGGAAAGATTATTCAGTAACAAGGTTGATAACAAAAGGTTGGCGTTTGGTGGAAAAATTCAGTTCAAAGTCTAAGCCAGTAGTCCACACCAAAAACATTCAGGAATTAAGTCACAATAGACATCTCCAAGCCCCAGACACTCTGCCTTATGAGAACCCAGTTTTCAAAGGGCCATCCCTACATTTATAACATATCTTGTCATGAAGTTTGCCATAGTAATTATCAAAATTTCCACATACTCTTGCCTAAAAACAATGCCTGCCAAAGGATGGCTTGTTGCTTTAGGAGGAAATAATGTTCTCAGGGGAAACTAGAGTTATCAATTATAGGTAATCTCTAACTTCTACTGCTAGCCATCATCCAATAACCTATTGATAGTCCATATAATGTACATCTGTCATAAAATTCTATAATCCCAACATATGGATATGCCTTAAAATTTCATCAGTTCCTACATAAACACTTATACCTTTGATCATTCGTCTCATTTCCACAGAATTTTCATAAATGAAATTACAGAACCAAAAGATATATTTTTAAATACTTTAAAGATTATAAATTCTGATGGTAAATTATTCCATAGGAACATCAGTCCAATGGACATTCACATGAGCAATTAATGAAAATCCCTGTTTTCCCCACACACTGGCCAAACTGGGTACTATTCTTTTTAATCTATGACAATCTGACAGAGAGAAAAAGGTGTCCCTTTTCAATCTGCACTTCTTTGATTCTAAGTGAAGCCAAACTTTTTTTTTTCATATTTTCCTTTCACATGGTCTTTCTTCTTTAGAAAATCCTTCATGTTTTTTACCTGCCATTCTACTGCGGTGTTTATTCTTTCCTTGATTTGTATATAGCTCCTTATAACAAAATGATTCACACATAAGTAGTAAAATATTTTTCCCAAATTTTTCTTTAACTTTATGAACTTCTTTATAGAATGTTAAATTTTTATGTAGTCAAATCTGTCCGTATTTTCTATTATAGTTTATCAGCATTCTTCTCTTAGTAGGTTAAATGCAATAATCAGAAAATTATTTAGATGTATTTTTTAATGCAGGCATAATTATATATTTAGATGCACTTAAAAGTAGAAATATACCAACATTCTAGTAACTGGCTTTGGTGTCAGACTGTAGATCAAAATTTTATTCTCTCTACATTTGTTTTCCAAGGTATTGCTAATAGACACAGTACTGTTTTTAAGAGAAAAAAATCTATGAAAAACAGAAGGAAACAAACACTAAAGAATGATCTCAGAGTTACACATAAGCAATGGGGCAATAATCCATCAGAGATAATGGGAACAAAGTTAATACTGGCTGCTTCCTAAGGATTTTAAAGCATCTGACCCACCAAGCTGTGAAAATGTAATTAAAACAAAAACAATAAATAAAAAAGAAACAGGAAAAGGAAGAACTGAAAAAAATATGAATGCAGAAACCACAGTCCAGAAAGGCCCAACATGCATAATTATCCAAATTTCTGCAACACTAAGTACATATAAATGCCCTTTATTCTCACCTGATAGAAGTAGCAGAAACAGTGATAATACCTCTCCCCACTGCATGGAAATAAATTGGCGCCAAAGTCAACCAAAATAGTTCTCAAAATATGAATTTCTCACCTGTGACCTGCAAGACTTAAAAAACCTTCTCTTCAGGATACTCCCACTTGGACATCGGAGAGCAACAGTCACTACCTGGGGAATAAAAATGTTCTATAAGAATTCCAATGCACTGCTCTGCAATTCCAAAATTACTACTGTGAAACATCTGTAATTATAAGAGTTCATGTGGGCTTTGTAGGAATTTAGCTCTGGGAGTAGTAAGCAGATCAAAGTTCCAGAAAATGCATTCTAAATATAGAAGTAATTCTTCTCAAACTGAAGAACATCTTCTTACTGATTGAGGACATCAGTGACAGAGCCTTCTGGAAAGGACACCAGAGTCTAAGAAATGCTTCTGTCTGCCCAGATAATATCAAGATGCAGTTGGGCTTCAAAAGTGACCTACTGAACCAAGAAGACCCAGTGCCATCTCAAAGTCTACAACAAGAACACTAATGGGAAGGAAACAGTTGCCCTGTGCACTCTATTACTGTGGGCTGTGCACCATGCCTACATCATGCAAGCAACCGAGAGGCGAGCCTGGAGCTGGTCCTAGAGGCTGGGTGCTCTCAGAAACCTCCACTCCTAGGAGCAGCTCCCACTTTATCTGCCATATGCCTTGGGTTCCTTATAATCTTTCCCTTGGTAAAACAGTTAAATAACTAGAGAGAGCTTACAACTGCTGATATTAAAGGAAATTCTAAAAGGAAGGATGATGAGTTAGTAATTTATTCTGATCATTATTTTCCTGTCAGGAAATCCTTTTTTATGTTATAAATTTTTAACATTATCATAGCTGTCCAGGGAGTTATGGAGGCATTGCAGTACAAACAGTGATTTTACAACAGCATCTACCCTCCTGAGAAAAGCCATGTTAGAAAATACTTCCATTCAAGTAGGTAAGGAATTTGACTCACATCCAAATCAATGCAATGCTGAGCTCTGTTTATTACTTCTACTAAAGGCAAAGTATTATAATAAAAAAAAAGATCACATAAGTTATAAGTAGCAATAATGAAAATTTGGTTCCAGGTACTCCGTAAAAAGAAAGATAGCATACAATAATGAATATAGTTGCGATGGCAATATTACATAATGATTTACAAAATTATTTTCAAATTCTGTAATTGTCTTTTCAATTTCAAAGAACAGTAACATGGTGAATACTCTATTATGAAACGTAGACCACCATGAGTTATTTCATCCTCTCAATTTTAAAATCTTGCCATATTATATTAGAACTCCATGGATAGTTGTAATACTATATATGTAACTGGCATTGAAAAAAATCAGGGTATACTGCTTTTTCTTAACACAATTAAGAATTGTGTTAATATGTTTCAGATTCTTTCCTCCCCAGTGAGAAATCCATGTTGGGCATTACTTCACTCATCCACTGGTCTGCTCCTCAATCCAACCAGGCTCCCACTATGCCATGAATTTTCTAATAGAGCTCCTTATGAGAATCACAGCTATTATAGATACAAAAATATACCTATATACAGTGAAAGCCTTGTCTGGTTCTAACTTTTAAATGAATGTTAGTCCCTTCACCTAGCAATTCAGAATTATAAAAATGTCCCTCTAGTCTGTGAGTGACACTAGACATTTAATGGGCCTAACTTTAATAAGGAAATGGAGAACTTCCTGAAAACTATGAACAGTACTCCTAAAAATAAAATTATATATATGCACATATACACATATATACACATACTCATAAAACAGACAGCATAGGGATTAAAATATAGTGGTTATGACACAGGAAGGCTTTATGTATGATGGTGTCATGATTATGTAATGGTTATGATACCAGAGCAAAACTGTTCAACTGATAAAACTGGAAATAGTGTTTTGCAGAAAGCCAGAATATTACTACCCAACTTACAAATTTCCTAGAATCTTTGGAAACTATGGGGTATCTCATTCTCTACTTGGGACATGCCTTCTTTACTTTGTAAACACTTTATTAGGGTGGAGGATGGGATGGAAAGGCACTCCCCAACATAGAATGCCTTTTCTTATTTTTAACTTTTATGATGATAATGACAATCCATGCTTAGGTCTTTTCATTTTTCTGAAAAAAGGTAGTTACAACCACAGGAGAAAGCCCAGCAGAGAAATCCGGAGGGACCAGGTGGACTGCCCAGAAACAGGTCATTTATTAGATACAAGGAGGTAACAAGTTCTAGGCCAATGAAAACAGGAGAATTACTGAAAGATGGAACAGACATTTAAAATCAGCTAGGGAAGTGAAATTAGTGGCTTGTGAGTGGTTAGTAGGGACTTAAGAATGTTTGTACTGAATTCCTAGGTATCTGTAAGCATTAGGATGGCACAGATGGAAAAGGCTTTGCCCAAGGATGATTCTGCAAGAATCAAAGTACTCCAATATTTATTAGCTTTTCTTTTTTCCTCCTCAGTTTTATTGAGAAATAATTGATAATGCATTCCTATATAACTGGCAGACAGCATGATGGTTTGATTTATATATATGGTGAAATTATCCCACAGTAGGTTCAGCTAACAGCCATCTTCTCATATAGATAAAACAAAAAGAAAATTTAAAAAAGGGAAAAAAATTTTTCCTTGTGATGACAACTCTTAGGATTTACTCTCTCAACAACTTTCCTATATATCATACAGCACTGTTAGCAACAGTCATCACATTGCAGAGAGTTTTTCTTGATTAGTGTAGGACAGAATACACTGTAAAAATACACAGTAGTAGTAGTAGTATCAACTATACATTAGGGTGTTCTTAACAAAATTTCATTATGTGATACAGAAGATGCTTGTACCAATTAATACTATATATGGTGCATACATCTTACATGTGATTTTCAGGTTAACAGTTACTTACCATAATATTGTTGTCTGTATAAATCAAAAGCAGAGCACACAGAAGCAAAAATTAAAGCAGGGCCAGAGTGCAGAGAAGAAAATAGGGGCAGTAGAGCGCAGAGAAGAAAATAGGGGCAGTAGAGCGCAGAGAAGAAAATAGGGGCAGTAGAGCGCAGAGAAGAAAATAGGGGCAGTACAGCACAGAGAGTGACAGCAGAGTACTGGCCACAGCCCAGAGGCCAGGTTCCCCCAGCAGGTTCCTTGGAAACCTTTCCCACAGGTGGCTTCAGCTCCCAGTGAGCAGATGGGATGCGAAGGGTATCTACATTCATTCCAGCTCTAAAATTCCACTATTTGTTAACAGGTGTAACACAAAATACCATCTATCAAGTATTGGAAAAGAATAGAGGAGAAACAAAATGGAATAACTATACATAACTTATAAAAAGGAGAGTAACAATGACTGCCTTTGTAGCAGAAGTTTAACCTCATAGAACTGAGTTTCTGAAGAAAAATACTGTCCTCTCTATAATCATAAAAAGGTACAATTTCAAAGGATTCATTGGCAACCTTGTGCGTGTAATCTGTGCACCTCTGGTGACAACCTGTTCTTCTACAAAAATAATGTCAAGTGTTTTAAAGCCAGAGTAAATTCATAAAAGGTGTTTCCCATCAAACCTGAGCTGTATTTAATTACTCATGGATTATAAACGGTTGTCATACATACCCATCCAGAGCTTGATGAGTAGTGAAAATGTAAGATAGGTCAGGATATACATGTCATGGCATAAATTTGTGGGGTGTAACAGGGAGGTATTAGAAGTCTGGGGGGTTTTTGTGTTTCTCCTGGGGTTCGATATGTGGATTGTACACTTCATTGCCTATTTTTATAGGACCTTCAGTTTTTTCTGATGTCCAACATACTATACTTAAATATTGCAAAATTGTTGACAAAAATGAGACCCTCTCAAGGGCATTCATGGCAGCCTCAGAAATGGTTTTCAAGGAGTGTAATAGTCGCAGAGCCCCAAGTAAAGGAAAACCACCTTTGCCTCGGTGGCTTAAAGACTTGAAAGATGTGCTCCCCAGACAGTAGAGCCCTGTCTAAAACTAACTGCAGGAGGGCAGCATACTTTATATTTATAGAAAAACTGCTGAGCAGAAGGCAGCTCAGTGTACAGTGGGGGTTGTCTGGCCCTGCCCCCAAACAGCAAACCATCCTTCAACTCAAAAACATCTACAAAGTAGCTGCATTCTTCATTTACTCTTTTTCAAGGGGAAAACTACAATTTGAAGGCACCTCCATATTTGGATTCTGTTTAATAAGTAACTCATTTACTGACCTGAAGTTTTCTGAAAGACCATATATCCTGTCTCTGCCTGAGGAAATGGGAGGGCTCTAAACAACCAGCTCAGCAGGCAACAGGCTTCCAAAATAGGACTCGAGCTGAGGAGTCTGATATTATATTGCATTCAGAACAAGACCTAATTACAGTGCAATCACATAAACAGAAACACTTATACTATCTTTTCTTCCTAACCCAAATTTACATGACTTGACATTAAAGAAAATAGGTATGTATAATCTGCAAAGAACAAAATCAGCTTACTTCTTCAGCTGTTTCAGGAGGTTCTTCAGGGAAATCAAGAACCTAAAGAAAAGCATATTAGTAACAGGAATGTAAACATTTTAAAGAAAAAAAAAGATAATTTCAAAGAGAATACTTTGTTTCAATATAGAGTTTAAACACATTTAAGCTTCATGAAATCTTTTAATATATATTTATAAAAAGTTCACAAGGAAAATGAGAGCTCAAGTAATATTTTTGGGTAATCAACCATAGATCATAAAAACTAGATTTAAAATAACTGCCAATCTATACACATTTAAAAAATTTTGTTTATGTTCCAAGATACTACATAATATGTACTATTTAAAGAAACAGGATGTCTTAAGTTCAGTAAGACCCCAAAATTATTTAGATTCATATATGTACACATTTTAAGATCAGTGCACACATTTCTTCACTGGCACTTCTGGGGGACTGGGTAAGCACCACTTGCTTTGGTTGCTTTGATGAGTTATTCATGTTTCCCTATTTCTGTTAATCTATTTAAAAAAACAGATGTTCAGACCATTTTCTCCCATTAAAACACTTGTCATTAAACTTTACCTCCAGAGACACTTTTTATTTTTTAGTACCAGAGACTCCATGTTTTATAAGTTTCTCTAACATTAATTGCATTTGTTAAATAAAACATTTGTTTTCCTTTGGTATCAAAAGCATCTTTGGTATCTCAGGCTTTCCCTGAGAGTCAGTATAAACAGGCTTACTTCCAACCTATGCCAGCTCCAAATCAGTCAATTTAGGTACTAAAGTTTTAAAGATAAAAGGGCACTGTTCCAAAGTAAATGGCTGCTAGCCTGTTCCCTAGAGGGGCCACTGGGAAAAATGATTCACTCATGTTAATAGTACCAGCTATTTACTAGATAAGGCCTGATTATGTCAGAGCGAATGGTTCTCTCAGTAAGTATTTTTCATTTCTACATAATCAAATTATTTCCTCAAAAAGAATGGTGTTACTGTCTAAACCTATCATCATTTATCTTCACAGCTTCTATATTTGGTTCAGAACATTAATATTAATACTAAACTGGAAAAGTGATTCTTATGAAACTGATCACTTTGTAAGGTAGTGGGAAGACAACCGCTGGATCAAAAGCCAATCCTAATTCTCCCCAGAGTATACCACCATACCCACAGAACAATATTCCTAGCACACACTGACACAGCCCTGTGAGCAGGCGTCACGAACCTCCTTCTGCGCGGGCTGTTGAGCAGGTGGTGAAACTTTGGTTAAAGGCTTAGGCAGTTTCCGTCTCTTTGCTGCTTCTCTGTTTGATGTTTCAAAAGACGTCTGACTTTCACTTTTAAGCACCAGATTTTCATCACCCTGTTCAAAAACAACAATCTCTGAAGAGGTGCTCTCTACTGAGTTTATTCTAGTCACAATGATTATTTCTTTTACCTTGATAGCATTTCAGTGAAAAATAGAATTAAGTCCTTATTAGACCCAGAAACTCGGCATTTTCTCCTTAGACAAGAAAACATGGAGTTTAACATCTTGTAGAAACAACCCTTACCCAGCTCTGGGGCTCCCTCTGATAGATACAAGGTGGAGAGGGACCTTTCCATTTTAACTGACCCCCAAGTTTTTCAGTAGGTGGAAGAAGGAAACCTAAATGACGTTCTCTCCTCCTTTCAGTAAAAGAAGCTAGGCAGTGCAAGGGACTGTGCCTTGAAAGGCTGTGAAAATAGAACATGCATATAAAAATGTTTATTTATGTAATCATGCAGTACTTCCATAGCTGAATGTGGCCCCTGTATCTTGTTATATATAAACATATTTTCAGCTCTGTAATTCAAACTTTGATCTTCTATTTTAATCAGTCACTTTAGGAGACAAAGGTCTTATTCCAGAAATCATAAAGATTAGTTTTTATTAGTACCTATTAAAATTTTTTCCTTAGCAAGGTAATTCACTTAAATGTCAAATTCTCAAATACATGTTAGTTCAATAATGTCTCTCTTCCATATCTACCAACCTTCTGAAGTTCTCTTTATTAGACTGGAATGGCCACCATTTTGGTGGGCTGTTTTCCCCATTCATTTATCTTAAGAGAATTTGGTGGAAGGAGCATGGGGAATGGGAGTCAAAAGATCTTGCTGCTGAATAATTAACTGTCCACACTTAGGCTTCCTCACTGCAAAGTGTGGAGCTGGATAAGGTGACGGATACTTTCTATCAGCTCTAACATTCCAATTCTCATGTTCTGTGATCATCCTGAAAGCCTTAAGCCTAACAATACCAAAAGGTCTACCCTGCCCCTCACTTTATTGTCCCCATTGATTATGTAAAACATGTATTAGATGGAACTAGGTTAAATATATACCAGCAGTCATCAAGACACAGCCTAATTTCATGTTGCCTGCCTTTCACATTAAACATTACTACCCATCCCTTCATTGTTTTATGACATATTGACCATCACAAAATGAGTAAAAACTGATTCTGCTTCACTGTATGTAAGAATCATGTTTACTTTTCCTGGATCATTTTCTTTACAAGATGTGGAAGGTACAGTATAAACAGAGAAATAACAAAAAGTCTTTGGGACAGAAGTGATCTTACACATAAAATCTGCAGCCAGCCAATTACTCTAAAATTTAATTCCTTTATGAACATCCTTTTTCCTCTGCAAGAAAACTTAAAATTGTAAACTTCCATTAGTAAATAAAAAAATTCATTCTCAATGCTAAAGGAAAAAAAGAGTGGTTAATTTGGTTTTACAAAAACAGAGCCAAACATAATGAATATAATGGGAGCTTATAATACCTTGGAGACCTTACTTTATGAAAGATCAGAACTCCTCCCTCACATAAAACAGTGATTTGGTCAGCAGTTTTCTCAAAGACTACTTATGGTAGAGCTTTTCAAGGGTCTAAGCTTTGTGCTCTTACAGGCATGAAAAACCACTTAACCATTATACTGAAACATAAATATGTTGCATTATTTATGAAAGATCAGAACTCCTCCCTCACATAAAACAGTGATTTGGTCAGCAGTTTTCTCAAAGACTACTTATGGTAGAGCTTTTCAAGGGTCTAAGCTTTGTGCTCTTACAGGCATGAAAAACCACTTAACCATTATACTGAAACATAAATATGTTGCATTAAAAATTGACATACAATCATTAATAAAGACTCCTAAAAAAACAGCCTGTACAACAGTTAATTTCATATGTAATTTTTAAAAAATAAATATGTAAAACATAACAAAAGGAAACATAAGTAATAGAATTCAAATTATAAAATGAGAATGTTTTCTAACCCCAAGTTTATGACCACTGCTTAACTTCCAGGTTTCACCCATCATCTGATAAAAGCGCTGTTCCAGTTTTTTCAATTTCATTTCCTGGTGCAGTTTTAGAACATTCTCTTTGTATCCCTTAGCCTGTTCAAAAAAATAAGGTAGGTGTTGTTACCACACATTAACGTTCCTAAGATTGTACATTGTCTATAAAAGTATGAATAACCAGGTAAGAGTGTGTTTTCACACTAACTCAATTTTGTCAAAAAAGCAGCATCCTCCACTTTTGTTAACACTGAAAATTTGCACTTGTACATGATGCAAATAAAAACAAATGTTCTACACTTATGCTTGTATGGCAGTCTGCTTATAAATCCTTCCATGAGTTGTCAGTGCAAAACTTACTAGGGGTTACCAATACAAAGGTGCATAGAACATCGTTCTTAAATCTGAAAGGTGAGACAAGGATTACCAGATGACTAAGGAGAGCCTCCAACATGAAAAATGGAGACTAAAATTAACAAACAGAAAAAAAGCAACTTGAATAAATAACTACACTGGAATTTTGAGATAACAGCACAATAGTTCAAAATTCTAATGATTTTCAACCTGTAATTCTATATGAAATCAAACTATCAAATCAATGTCAGATGAGAAAAATTACAAAAAAATGTTATGTATTATCAAGCACATGTCTGCACAGGCTGAAACTTCACCATGTACACATACTATACTGTGAGATACTGATTGATTAATTTCCCTTTGTCCAAAGAGAAAATTTTAACAGGGTTGTTTTAGATTTTTGCCAAAAAAAAGAATCCCATCTTTATAAACCCTTTGGAATTATGGGTACCAAGTAGTATTCAGTTGTGATCTAGATGGAATTCTAGTTTACTAATTATTAGCATGTAAGGCTTGAACAGTTACTTCCACAGGAGATAACATCCAACTTAGAAGTTCAAACTAAGAAGATTCAAATATCTACAAGATAGCTTCTTATCAAAGATCTTCCAAGAAAACTTTTATTGTTAGTAAGTTCAGATCAGGATAGTTACAAATGTTGTAAAGCTCCTACTCCCCAGTAAACATACAGGTTTTTACTCCAGTGATTTGTTTTCAGCCTCCATTTGTTTACTTAAGAAGGAATAATTTGTTCATGAGAAAAACAAGTGAAAGATGTCAAAATATTAATCAGTGCTCTTGTAAAGAGTCTCCTCTTTCACCAAAGTCAGTCATCAATCTGGCAACTTCCTGAGTGTTACCTCACAGTTGAAGGTCAAGAAAATAACTTAAATAATCACCTATGGAAATGCAGTTCCTAGCTATGAAAGCAGGTCTTGGATAGGATACTGCAAAAGCAGTGTTCAGTGGGAAAGTTACAGCTGTAAACATCCAATTAGAGAGGAAGAAAGATCTCAAATCAATACATTAACTTTACACTTAAAAAAAAAAACCCAACCCAAAGCTAGCATAAGGAAGCAAAATATAAGATTACAGAAAAGATAACAGAGAATAGGACAGCAAAACAATAGAGCCAACAAAACCAAAAGCTGGTTCTTTGAAAAGATCAGTAAAATCAACAAGCATATACCTTGACTAAGAAAAAGAGAAGACAAAATCAGAAATGAATGTGGAGCTATTACTACCAACCTTAGAGAAATAAAAAGGATTATAAGAGAATACTATGTACAGCTATACACCATCAACTTATATAATCAAGATGAAACAAATTCATACAAATTAGTTTACTCAAGAAATAGGAAAACTCAACAGATCTACCAAAAGTTTGAATCAGTAATTAAAAACCTCCCAACAAAGAAAAGTAAGAAACAGGATTCACTAGTGAATTCCATCAAACCCTTTAAAGAGTTAACACTAACCGTTCTCATATTCATCCAAAAGAACAGAAAAGGTGAGAACAGTTTTTAACTCATTCTGAGTTCAACAGTATCCTGACACCAAAGGAAGACAAAGACACTACAAGAAAAGTACAGATCAATATCCCTTATGTATACAGATGAAAAACTCCTCAAGAAAACACAACAAACTGCTCCAGGCATACTGAAAGGATTATATATCAATGTCAAGTGTGATTCATCCTAAGAATACTAGATGGTTCAACATATGAAAATCAATCAATGTAGGACATACTAATGAAACAGGGGAAAAACAAGATCATCTGAATTGATGAAGAAAAAGCATTTGACAAAAATTCAGTGCTCTTTCCTGATAAATATACTTGGAAACTACGACTGGAAGGGAACTTGTTAATGTAATGAGCATCTACAGAAAATTCACAGCCAACATCACACTCAAGGTAAAAGACTAAAAGCTTTCTAAGATCAGGAACAAGACAAGGATACCTGCTTTCACCACCACTATTCAATACTGTTTAGAAGTTTTAGCCAGAGCAGTATGGCAAGAATAAGAAATAAATGGTATTAGTTTTGGAAAGGAGGAAGCTGTAGATTGCATTGGGTAGTATTGATGATAATATTAAAACTTCCAATCCATAAACATGCGATGTCTTGCCATTTATGTCTTTAATTTCTTCCAAAAATTTCTTCCAACTATATTTTTAGTGTACATAGCTTTCACCCTCTTGGCTAAATTTATTCTTAAGTGTTTTATTCTTTTGGATGCTATTATAAATAGAATTGTTTTAATTTCCTTTTTTGATTTTTCACTACTAGTGTATAGAGACACAAATGATTTTGGGTGTGTTGATCTTGTACCCTGCAATTTTGCTTATTGTTTATTAGCTCTAGTGGGTTTTTTGTGTGGATTCCTTGGGCTTTCCTATATATAAGGTAATGTCATTTGAGAATAGGAATAGTTTTAATTTCAGTGCAATCCTCCTCAAAATCTCAAAGGTCTTTTTTGCAGAAAGGGAAAAGCCAATCCTCAAAACTATATGGAATCACAAGAGGCCCCAACTAGTGAAAACATTATTGAAAAAGAAGGACAAATTTGGAGAAGTGTGAACAAATCACACTTCCTGATTTCAAAACTTACTAAAAAGCTACAGTAATCAAAACAGCATGGCACTGGCATTAGGCTAGATATATTAACCAATGGAATAGAAGTGAAAGCTCCAAAATTAAGTCATACCTTTGTGGCCAACTGGTTTTCAACAAGGGTGCCAAGACCATCCAATGGGGAAAGAATAGTCTCTTTAACAAATGCTGCTGGAATTATTTACAATAGCCAAGATATGAAAGCAATGTAAGTGTCCATCAATAGATGAATGGATAAAGACGACATGTTACATATGTAAAATGGAGTATTACTCAGCTGTAAAAAGGAAACCTTGCCATTGCAACAACATGGATAGCCCTAGAGGATGTCATACAACAGAGAACGACAAAAACCATATAATTTCACTTATATGTGGAATCTAAAAATCAAAACAAATGAACAAAAGAAAATGACTCATAAGTACAGAGAACAAACTGGTGGTTACCAGATGGGGGAAAGGTGGTGGGATGGGAAAAATAGATGAAGGGACTAAAGAGGTACAATCTTCCACTTATAAAACAACTAGGATGAAAATTATAGCATATGGAATACAGTCAGTAACACTGTCATAACTTTGGTAACTACACTCATCGTGGTGAGCATTTTTCTTTTTTGCAGAAAGGGAAAAGCCAATCCTCAAAACTATATGGAATCACAAGAGGCCCCAACTAGTGAAAACATTATTGAAAAAGAAGGACAAATTTGGAGAAGTGTGAACAAATCACACTTCCTGATTTCAAAACTTACTAAAAAGCTACAGTAATCAAAACAGCATGGCACTGGCATTAGGCTAGATATATTAACCAATGGAATAGAAGTGAAAGCTCCAAAATTAAGTCATACCTTTGTGGCCAACTGGTTTTCAACAAGGGTGCCAAGACCATCCAATGGGGAAAGAATAGTCTCTTTAACAAATGCTGCTGGAATTATTTACAATAGCCAAGATATGAAAGCAATGTAAGTGTCCATCAATAGATGAATGGATAAAGACGACATGTTACATATGTAAAATGGAGTATTACTCAGCTGTAAAAAGGAAACCTTGCCATTGCAACAACATGGATAGCCCTAGAGGATGTCATACAACAGAGAACGACAAAAACCATATAATTTCACTTATATGTGGAATCTAAAAATCAAAACAAATGAACAAAAGAAAATGACTCATAAGTACAGAGAACAAACTGGTGGTTACCAGATGGGGGAAAGGTGGTGGGATGGGAAAAATAGATGAAGGGACTAAAGAGGTACAATCTTCCACTTATAAAACAACTAGGATGAAAATTATAGCATATGGAATACAGTCAGTAACACTGTCATAACTTTGGTAACTACACTCATCGTGGTGAGCATTTTGCAATGTATGTGAATGTTGAATTACTGTTACACACACCTGAAACTAATATAATATTGTACATCAACTGTATTTAATTAAAAAAACATTCTGTGGGGACAACTAACTGCATATGCACATGCAAAAGAATGAAATTGGATCCCCCTACCTCACTCCATATACAAAAATAAACTCAGAGTGAGTTAAAAACCTAAATACTAAAGTTAAAACTGTACAACTCTTGGAAGAAAATATATTAAGGATAAATCTTCTGACTTTAGATTTGGCAATGGATTTTTCAGATAAAGACCAAAAAAGTATGAGCAATAAAACAAATAAAAATTGGACTTCATCAAAACAAAAAATTTTGTATATCACAGGACACTATCATGACAACCCACAGAATGGAAGCTATGTGCAAATCATATATCTGATAAGAGTCAAGTATCAAGAATTTATCAAGAATTCCTATAATTCAACAAAAGACAAACACCCTAATTTAAAAATGGGCAAAGGTCTTGAACACACATTTCTCCAGAGAAGATATACAAATGCCCAGCAAGCACATGAAAAGATGTTGAACTTAGTTATAAAAGGAATGAAGTACAGATACATGCTGTATGGATGAACCCTGGAAAACATGCTGACTGAAAGAAGTTATATGCAAAAGGTCAAACTGTTATAATTTCTTTTATATGAAATATCCAGAATAGGCAAGTGTATACAAACAGAAAGCAAACTGGTGGTTGCCAAAGCATAGTAGGGGGGACTAAGGAAGTGAGTGTCTAGTAGGTATGGCGTTTTCTTTGGGGGTGAGGAAAATGTTTTGGATCTAGTTAGAGGTACTGGTTACACAATATTGTGAATGTTCTAAATGCCACTGAATCATACACTTTAAAATGGTTAATTTTATATCATGAATTTTGACTTCAATAATAAAAATAATCTGAGCATAGTGTCAAAAAAAGCAACAGACCTAAATTTTAAATACCCCAGATAATTCTCTCTACATATGCTAAACCATGCCTTACCTTTTCGCCCTGCACCTCTTGTTGTTTTTTTCTGACAAGTTTTTGCCTTTTCCCATACTTCTTCTCTTCTTCTTCTAAGACATCAAAACATAAAAGTGCTTTTTAATTCCCAAGTATCAGTAAGTTGAAGGCTCTCTTTCTCTGAAAATAGTCTGTAGATCTTAACATTTGGGAGAGACAAACTTTCAAAAACAGGTATTTTTCAAATTATGAAAATAAATGCAGACAGTTGAAAGAAATCCACAAGTAAAATCTGTCAGAAAAGGTCTGTTCTGAAATAATAATTCTCTGACACATATTAATAATTCTGTGTTGTAGTTTTGGTGTAGTTTCAAAAATGAATATGGTGGGGCTTTTTCTGTGGGCCTGACAGGGCTTTAGCAGCTAAGGCACAGCCTGGAAGCCCATTACTGCACATGAAGTATGGAACACTGCTCAGCCAGGAATGTGTGCCATTTGGGCATCCCTGTACCCAACAGTCAAAGGAACATACTAGACCCCAAAGGTGGGGTGTGCTCAGCAGCTCCTATAATGAATGAACGAATATTAGGTCATTATCCATGAGATGTCAAGAGAAAGGATTTTTGCGGTTGTATGACCTTCCTTATTCTGGGTTTAGTAGATTTCATTTAAGTTAATTTTAACTGTATTCCCTCAAAGAATTACCCATCCTTTAGGAAAATACTGTTGACCTTTGTATAACATGTGTTTGAACTATGAGGGCCCACTTATACTGGGAATTTTTTCAATACATATAGAGGAAAAATTCTGAGAGATGTGAAGATTTGAAAAAACATTTTCTCTATCTTACTTTATTGTTAAGAATATAGTATGTAACACTGTTCATGTTATTGATAAGGATATTGGCCATGGTAGGCTATTAGTTATATGCAGATTTTACTACAATGGCGGGGGGGGCTGGTGCCTACCCCCCATATTGTTCAAGAATCAACAATATAGCCTTTAAACTGCCTGTTCATTAAATAAAGGATCATTGCTTTCTGTCAATAACTTTATCTCTTGGTAAGTATTTCCAAGTTTACCAAGGAAAGATTAAGATAAGTAAAGCACACAGGAAATCAGAAGGCCCGATTAGGCCACTAACTTATGTGGTTAGTCAAGACTTAGTTATCTTAAGACTCTTAAACTCTGAACCAAGGAATATAGTTTTTAAACAAATCAATAGCAGATTTAGGGGCTTTAATCCTTAAAGTCACTGGAAACTGACTAGCTCTGAACTTTTGATACACCTCATCATGCAAATCTTTACAACATATGGAAGATTAAAGTTTTGGGTGAATCTGAAGTCTTTTACCTCAGTATCTGATGACAGCAGGAAGAAAGAAAATGTGTAAGCAAGCTGATTTTATACTCAATTGATAAAATTAATCAGGCACTATACAGTCCTGATTAATCAAAAGTTTTATTTCAGTGATTATGTCCCAGAATCATCAACCTGTAAATGTATGAGAATGACTTGCAATCCAACAACATAAAGGTATAGCTTAAAGCACAGGAACTGTGTCAAGACCAGTTGCCCTTATTTATAAAACATAGGATACCTGATATGATATATGCAGCAAATACCTTCATGATATCAAAATGTATTTAACAAAATTTCTGAGAAGTTGCAGTGCTCTTATTTAATTTCCAGTTTAGTAATTTGAAATATAAGAGATCATATAATTTATCAAAAGAAGAAACAAAAGAATTTCTAAAATCTATGATTGGGAGACCCTGAAAAATACACATTCTATTATGTTTGGGTGAATGGTATAAGCTGTTAAGATTATGGTTGTATTCACTTTTAATCTGAAAGGGTTATAAATTCAACACTGCTCATTTTTCTTTCACTTACTTACATTTAAATAAGAAGCAAAACAAAACAATGTACCAAGTTCACTACTGACTTCTTTCTAAAAGGTTGTAAGAATGTAGGCTTCATTTTTAGGATTCATCTGTTCTGAGAACTACCAGATTGTTTTAAAAGGCTTCTAACTTTTAAAAGACAAAACTTTTACTTACTAAAAAAAAAAAAGAACAAGCATAGTTTTCCTAAAAGTAAGAGCACTGAACTATCCATAATGGATAAGTGTATATAAAATAAAAAGTGCCAAATGGAATGAGAAATAAATTAGGTTGAAAAGACTTGAGATTAATGGTAGGTATGATCATTTGCAGAACAGTTTATAAACTGCATATCAAATGGAAGTGAAGCTGCACACACAGTTTAAAATGAGAGAATTTGCAATGTATCAACTTAGAAATGATGTAACTTCAAATGTACATATAAGAATAATGTATAATTTTCCATAACAATGTTTGGATTTGTAGTCCATTGAAAATAAAGACTAAATTTGTAACGTAACTCTACCCTGAAATTACACATCACAAATTAATGGTAAATGGGTCTCATTGTGAAATGTTCTAGAATAAATAAAGGAAAGAAATGTGAGTAGAAAAGTAGAAAAGGGTAGCTTCAACAATGAACTTACCTTTCAGATAAACTTGGGAAGATTTAAATGAGTTAAGCCATGAGCTTGTCACAGAAATAATTAAAGTAAGGAGAGCAAGCAGTAAGAAAATCCGGCCACACAGTAAAATTAGATCTTTAATTCCTGACAAAGATAAACAAACAAACAAAAATACCCAAATTACAATTACAATTCAAAACACTTAATATTAATAATAAATAATAACATATTAGAAGATTGTACTAGAAAAGTATAGTCAAAGGTAAGTCATGTAACTATGTTACAGTTTTCACATGGTCTTCTTTGGGTGCTAAGATCATCATGGTTGTTATTACCAGAACAGGTTTTTGGAAAACAATTTTAGAAGATCTTTTGTCTCAGGAATATAGGTAAATTCAAGTGATTGGCTACATTATAAATACTATGACTGTCAGTAATGCATAAATCCTGGTTTCTTTACTGTCCAGAGGAAGGAGATAAAATTGTATTATTGGGAGCTAAGGTGAGAGTATCATCTTATCAAATTCTAGTTCTAGTTAAAAAGTCATTCCTACTGAAACACCAAATCCAGATTTCTCAGTAAAATTATGCAACTTTGCACTTCTTCATTTCTCAATTTTTACTTTTATCATTTGGATAGAAATATATATATATATGTTTGCCTAGAAAAAAAGCAAAAATTAAGTATTTGATCTTATTTCAACAACCAAAATGAAAATTAAAGCAGCAGAAATGTAACTACCACCTACTTTGTGTAAATAAAACTTACTGAATGGTCAAGAAGTGGAGACATAAAGATGGGCTGAAAATGGTTTCTACCTTTCGGTTTTTAATTTTGTTTTATAATTCTCAAAAGTTACCAGGCAGACGTAAAGAACCACCATCTTACCAATGTGAGCAAGGTTGGCAGTTAGTCAGTCAACTAAAGATTAAAGAAGGAATTATATATACCGACTTATTTTCACTGAAAGCAGATGTATTTGTTACCCTTTCTTAAGAAGTCAATTTAAAGTTGTTTAGAGAAAAAAATAGCTTTTTTTTTTTTTTTTTGCTTCATGACCCTCTAACTGCCAGCATTAACTATTGATTCAGGTGTTTTTTAATACAACACAGAGTTAAATCTAGGGTACTCCTGGGCATTACAACATTCAATTCCTAAGAGTATTAGTGTTTAGAGGGACTGCTGTATTATGGGATTTTTGTTCCATAATATTGCTTTTTGTTCTAACAAGCAAGCAATCTACAAGTTTCACTTGACAATATAAAAGAACTAGATTTGTGTGTACACTTTTTAAAGACAAAATTAAAAATTTTTTTCATACCTACTCTCAAGAGCCCATGTGCAGGGCCCTTCAAATGATAACAAATGAGAGAAACCAGCATTAAATATTAGTTTAAGCACAAGTAAAAATGTATTGGCAATGAAGGCTTTTACATAGGAGAAAAAGATAGGGATCATTTTCAATATATGCCAAAAATACAACCCAAATGAAGAAACAAGTCTGAGAATTCCACTTCTTCTCCTAGAAGTCAGCAGTGCCAGCCAGGACTACTAGCATCTCTAAGTACTGTTCCACCGGACCTAGCCCTACATCTGTTGCACTGGTATGTCTGATTTGTACTGGATATTTAGAGAACCTATATCAAGAAGCCAAAGTAAATAACCACTGCTTCACAACTGAGAGAGGATTCTAGGAGAAAGGAGTTAGTGGAAATTTCAGAACCAGAGATGTCGCTAAGATCCCAGTGGCATTTTCTACAATTTTTGGCCTGCTTTTAAAAAATCAGACATTGTGATAAGTGGCAGGAATAAAAAATTGATGTCTCTGCCTTCAAGAAGTGTATTTCCCTGTGGTTGGAGCTTATCATGTGAGCAGGTCTCCTGCCACCCTCAGTAACCACCTTCTCATAACTAGTGACACGAATAGTGCGAAGTGGAAGATTCTAAATACGCAGAGTAGAGGTGGATGCTGTAAAGCCAAGGGGACCAGTAAATTCTGGAATAAGGTTAAGTGTGAACTGAACATTTGTGTATCATTTGCATAAAGGTCTTGTGAGATTCAATATATTTGAGTAGGAGGCTTCTAGAGGGTTCTGGTAGATTTTTTAAAGTATTTTCTTATTTCAAGTAATATTTCTGAGTACCCCAATCCTTGGGGGTAGGGAGAGGGAAATATCCAAAGCTAAGTTTCATAGTTTAATGAGTGGGATGTGCATGTAAACTGATCACTAATATGTCCAAACATGAGCTGATTCTCCATAGGTCCATTTGCCTTTCAGTTTTCCCCCTTTTCGTTGGCGCCACCAACTATATGGGGTTGTTCAACCCCACATGGAGGAGTCATCCTTGAATCCCCCCTCCTTCATCCCAAATATTAATCCATCAACAGATCCTTCATAAATCCCAAAATTGTGCACATTTCATCTCTGCCATCCCAGTCCAGGCGATCTCTGCGTGCCTACTTGAAAAGCTTAAGTTGCCTCATGCCTTCCACTATAGCCTCCTTCCAATACGCTCTGCACGCAGAATCCAGTGGCCTTTTTAAAACTGGGGGGATTTACTGAACCTCCCTGTATCTGTTTCCTTAACGGTACAGTGGGGACTAACAGCACCCACCCGGTGTGGTAATGCAGATGGGATGAGACATTATCATAAATACCACTTGCAGTTAGGTTTATAATAGGTGCTCAGTGAACATTATTTCAGGCCACTCTCCCCTTCAGTCTCCTTGATCCAGCCACAGCGCTCTTCATCTTTTTCCTCCAACATGTCACAATTCCTTTTGTCTGGAATGTTTCTGCGCCGGCTTTCCAAAGGGTTGGCTCCCGATCATTTAAATCTCTGCCTAAATTCCATAGAAGGGCCTACATCACATCACTCTAATTCTTTCCTTTTGAGCAGTCAACGCAACTTGAGGGCAGTGTTGGCCTGTGTTCCTCTGCTATCTGCCTCGGTACCCTCGCAAACACACCTCTCCAGGTCTGAACGGACTTTCTCCGCCCGGCGCGGCGCAGTCCCGCTCTGACGGAAATCCGGCACCGGAAGAGGGTGACTGCCGCGCTGCACCCTGGGAATCGTAGGCAAAGCGCCAAGGGGAGCCGCGGCCGGGAGACGGTCATTCTACGCCACATCCAAGGGAAAGGTACGCGGGTGGGAGCGCCAAAAGGAAGAAGCCGGTTTACCTAGTTCCGGGATCCCACGGCGGAGCTCCAGACACAGGAGAGGAAGAGCAGAGAGGAGGAAAACGCCAACGACCCAGCGAGAAGCCATGTTGCTCGGAGCCCCGCGTCCGGCGGGAAGCGCGCCCCTTCCGGTTTCGTCCTTCCTACGGGCGGTGCTTTGGACGAGACGGGGCGCTGAGACAGGCTCGCTAGTGCCCTGAGCTGAACTCCTGTGTTCGAACGCTTTATCTGTCGCCTTATATCAGAAGAAACACAGCTCGCCTCCCCACGTCACAACATGTCCGGGGGAGACGGCTTCAGTGGCCGCCGCTCTGGCCAAGTCCTGCGGCTCCCTGGAGGCGAGGCCGGCAGCGCCTGTCCCTGCGGTCTCCGGGCTCCGCGGAGGCCGTGAGAAAGAGCTCTCGGGAGTAAAGTGGACGAAAAAGTGCCCGGGCCGTGGGCGCTGTGCGGAGGCAGCCTGGCCCTTTGGCCTGGCGTCCGCGGGGAGTGATGGGGGCCTTCGGGTTCGAACTGTTCCGCACCGCCCTCTTCTGAAGCGCAGGCCGTTTCTGCCTGACGGTTCCGGCCCCTTCTACGGTCTCTGCTTCCGGTGGGAAGATGATTCAAAAGTGGGGCCTGCGTCTAATTCCAGACTGCGGAGACCAGCTCCGCCTTTTTCTGCTCCTTGCCAACGAGTTTATTGTTAATACCGTGACTTGGCCTCACGGTTCTATGACCTCATTGCCATGGCATCACGACTCACCTCCTAAGAGTGATGTGAGTGATGTGCCAATGTGCAGCTCAAGCTACAGTGGTCCTCTTTTCATTTCGTGGCTTGAAATTCTCTTTCTGACCCATCCATCAATCCTCCCACCTCATCCTTCAATTCAGTTAAAATAACATTTATTGAACCCCACATATTGCCTGTTACTGCAGAGCTCATGGAGAGTCAAGTGTAAGTTACTCAATTTGTCTTCAAAAAATAGTTGTGGGAAAGACAACCCTGTAAACAAGTAATACAGTGCCAGAGTACTGGAATAAGGATAGTTCCCTACCCTGCGGGCCTGGGAAAGGCTTTCCTGAAGGAAATGCCTAAATTGTGTTGTAAAGGTTAGGAATAGGGGAGGACAGGTGAGAGGATGAGTGGGATTTTTTAATTTAGGAAACAATGCAGGGGAACTGCCAACAGTTAAAATACTGCAGTTTAAAGTTTGAATGGAGGTGTGTAGAAGTAGGTTGGAGCTGGGACCCCAAAGGGCTTTGTATATAGGCTAAGCATTTGATTCTGAAAGGGAAGGTGCAGAAATACGAGGGCACAATCCAGAAATCAAGCAGGGTGAAGTAATAAAAATTATAACTTACCAGTTAAATGACTGACTAAATGACATAGAAGTTCTCATTTGATGTCTGCATGAACACAGGAAAGAAATTAAGTTCAACAGCCCTCATTATCTTCATTTTGGTACCATTTTTTTTCCTCTAGGTATTTTTCTTCCTTTCTGGTTTCCTATATTCCTAATTTACTGATGTAACCAGTGAACCTCTGTCAGGACAGTAAAGTGGAGGCCCCCAAGTATTCCAGATTTGCTTGGTGTCTTACACATTTCCCAAATTTTGTTGATTATGAAGTGTCTGAATGGCAGTTGTCTTACCGCTAACACCCCACTCCCCAACCCACCTACCCCACCCTACAAAAACTGGACAGCTACATTTAGAAGAATGAAACTGGATCATTATCTAACCCCATACACAAAAGTAAATTCGAAATGGATCAAAGACCTGAATGTAAGTCATGAAACCATAAAACTCTTAGAAAAAAACAGGCAAAAATCTCCTGGACCTAAACATGAGTGACTTCTTCATGAACATATCTTCCCGGGCAAGGGAAACAAAAGCAAAAATGAACAAGTGGGACTATATCAAGCTGAAAAGCTTCTTTACAGCAAAGGACACCATCAATAGAGCAAAAAGACATCCTACAGTATGGGAGAATATATTCATAAGTGACATCCAATAAAGGGTTGACATTCAAAATATATAAAGAGCTCACACATCTCAACAAACAAAAAGCAAATAATCCAATTAAAAAATGGACAGAGGAGCTGAACCACAATGAGATATCACCTCACACCAGTAAGGATCGCCAACATCCAAAAGAACAACAAATGTGGGTGAGAATGTGGAGAAAGGGGAACCCTCCTGCATTGGTGGTGGGAATGTAAATTAGTTCAACCATTGTGGAAAGCAGTATGGAGGTTCCTCAAAAAACTCAAAATAGAAATACCGTTTGACCCAGGAATTCCACTCCTAGGAATTTATCCTAAGAATGCAGCAGCCCAGTTTGAGAAAGACATATGCAGCCCTATGTTTATCACAGTGTTATTTACAATAGCCAATAAATGGGAGCAATCTAAGTGTCCATCAGTAGATGGATGGATAAAGAAGATGTGGTACATACGCACAATGGAATATTATTCAGCCATAAGAAGAAAACAAATCTTACCATTTGCAACAACATGGATGGGGCCAGAGGGTATTATGCTCAGTGAAATAAGCCAGGCAGAGAAAGACAAGTATCAAATGATTTCACTCATCTGTGGAGTATAACAACAAAGAAAAAACTGAAGGAACCAAACAGCAGCAGAATTACAGAACCCAAGAATGGACTAACAGTTACCAAAGGAAAGGGACTGGGGAGGGTGGTTGGGAAGGGAGGGATAAGGGGGAAAAAGAGGCATTACGATTAGCATGTATAATTTTGGGGGGGAACACAAGGAAGGTGCTATAATACAGCCGACAAGCAGTGATTCTGTAGTATCTTACTACACTGAAGGACAGTGACTATAATCGGGTATGTGGTGGGGACTTGGCAATAGGGGGAGTCTAGTAACAACAATAATGTTCATGTACATTAATGATAGCAAAATAAAATATATACTGTTAAAAAAATACTTAAGTGCATATCATTAACTATCATATGCATATAGGTAATTCACATGATATGTCTATGTAAGCATGCATGCCATGAACTACAACGAAATGCACATATCTTAACTGAACCATTCCTGAGTCCAATATGAGCATTGTTTAAAGATAAATGGAGGCATTTTAAAATTTAAGAGCTTATTTGAGCAAGAATTGACTTGAATCAGGCAGTATCCAGTCTAGTGGTTAGAATGGAGCACTGAGGGTCTGTACAAAATGAAAGACATTAATAGCCAGAAGGGTGTGGGAATAGGAATTTACTCCAAGCAACAAAGCTGGTTAGTTATTGCAAGGTTACCTTTCTTTAGGAGATGACAGGGTTCTCTCCGGCAGGTTACCTAACTAGTGCCCATCAGGTGATTGCATTTCTGGGAGACCCAAAACGGTGAAATCAAGTCTCAGTTAGGTGACATGGCGCTTAGCATAAGCAACTCCATTTTGGGCCTTGTTGTCTTTTTGGTTTTTTTATTTTCAAGTCAGACAGGTAATGTGCCAATGCCCTTACAAAGTTTGAAGGAGGGACATGTCATGCAAACGCATGAACACCCAATCATCGTGCTTATGAACTACAAAAGGATTGGTGTTTTCTTGTTTTTAAGTAGCATACAGCATTGTAATCCATTCCCCTATTAAGATATAAAACTTCCCAGAAAGTAACCACTCTTTTCCCACCATAGACTTTTTCTGATTTTTTTTCCAACCATAAATTAGGTTTTCCTCTTCTAGAACTTCTATAAATGGAATTATAGAAAACATACCCTTTAGATGAGACTTCATTTACACAGCATAATTTTTAAAAACTTTTTGTTTTGAAATAATTTTAGCTTTACACAGTTACAAGAAATAATACAGAGATCACATACTCCTTCACCCAGTTTCTCCCAATGGTAAATTTGTGCATAATGATAGCATAATATTATAAACAGGATTTTATATTGACACAGTTCACCAACCTTATTTAGATTCTACGGTTTTGCATGCACTCATTCATGTGTGTATATTTAGTTCTATGCAGTACTATCACCTGTGTTGGTTCATGTGAGCACCACCAGTCAAGATACAGAACAGTTAATTACATAACCATTACATGTCATTGTGAAATGCTCTAAAGGAAAAGTACAGGGAACTATGAAAGAGTAAAAGGAGACCAGTAATCAGGCTCTTAGCTGTGCCAGATGGTCTCCAGTGTAAAGACCTCTATTGTCCCTTTCCAGATAAGAATTCTCAGATTGTTTCCCTTTTCTATCTGCAGTCACCTTACTTTCTATCCTGCCACTACCAGATCCCAGACAACCACTTATCTGTTGTCCATCTCTTTGTCATTCAAGAATATTATGTAAATGGAATCATACAGCAGGTAACCTTTTGAGATTGGCTTTTTGTACTCAGTGTGATCTCCTTGAGATCCGTACAAGTTGTGTGTGTTGCTATTCATTCCTTTCTATTGCTGGGTAGTATTCCTTGGTGTGAATGTACTATAGTTTGACTAACCATTCATCTGTGAGTGACATATGGGTCATTTCCAGGCTCGGCTGTTAAGAGAAAAGCTGCTACAAGCAATTGCTTAAAAGTTCTTATGTGACCTTAAGTTTTCATTTCTCTGGGACAAATGCCCATAGGTGCAATTGTTGGGTCATATAGTAACCACATATTTTGTTTAGTGAGAAAATGCCTTATTTATTTTTCAGAGTGGCTGCACCATATTATATTCCCACTAGCAGTGTATGAGTGATTCAGTTTCACCACATCCTTGCCCACATTGGGTATTATCACCATATTTTATTTTAGCCAGCTTTAATTCCCTGATGACTAATGATATGGAGGACTTTCTGTGTGCTCTATTGGCCATTCATTTATATTTCTTTTTGAAGTGTTCAGATCTTTTAAACTGTTCTTTTTTGTGTTAATGAGTTGTGGTTGTTTATGTTTTGTGAAAATTTCTGTCTATAGCTTATCTATGTCAATTCATAATGATGATTTTTTATGAGAAGTTTTAATTTTGGAGACTAATTTATCAAATATTTTTTCAATGGTTATTGCCTTCTATGTCCTAAGAAACCTTTACCTACTCTGAAGTTGAAAGATTCTCCTGTTTTCTTCTAAAATCTCTGTATTTTAGCTTTTTTATCTAAGTTTATAAAATTTATTTTTGTGGGTTTTTTTCCCTCCTAAGTAAGGGGAAGGATGGCTACTTTTGGAAGTACTTCCTCTCTTAGGTTTTATTCCAAACAACAGAAAACTCAAAATGCAAAATTAATTTAATCTTCTTAACTTTGTTTTAGAGGCATCTTTTTTTTCCCCTTCCTTCCTGTTCTTCTTATTTTAGAGACATCTTGGTTTACTGTATGTAAGAAATTTGATCAGATGAATGTAACTTAGCGATCTGGTAGAAAATACTTTGTAGTGAACTATAGATTAATATTTTACATCCTTTCTTATTTGTATTTAAGCGTCA